CTTCCATCAAGGAAGGAAATAAAGCAAAGAGAAACAAGTGTGTAGGAGAAAGACATGAAAGAAGGAGATGAGTGTGAAGATATATTTTTGGTAAGGAAGATTAAAAAGAGTATTTTTAGATTAAAAAAAAAAGAATTTTGTACAGTAAAAGATTTTCTCCTAAGGAGAAATGACTGGATTTTTCCAAAATGGAGAAGAGATGAGAGTAAAACTAACAAGCCTCCGCGTCGCAGGAGGTGTGAATAAGTCACTCAGAGGTTTGCAGAACACAAACTTGAAGACGGTATCTGTATGATGATTAAAGGTGCTTAAAACTCCAAAGGTCAAAATTCAGTACACAGAATTAAAATCCAGTCCCATTTAAATCAATAAGATTCTCCTTAGGCATTGGTTTTTGTTTTTTTTTTTTGAGACAAGAATCTCTCTGTGTTGCCCTGGCTAGCCTGGAACTCAGAGATCTGCTTGCCTCTGCCAGTGGAGGACAGAAGAGGGAATTGGATCCCCTGGAACTGGAGTTACTGATTGTTGTGAGCCTCCATGTGGGTGCTGGGAACTGAATCTGGATCTTCTGGAAGAGCACCCAGTACTAAGCCATCTCTCCAGCCCCTAAAATAAATAAACCTTAAAAAAAAAAGATTTTAGCCAGGCATAGTGGCACACACCTTTACTCCCAGCACTCAGGAGGCAGAGACAGGGAGTTGCTGTGAGATCCAGGCCAGTCTGGTACATAGCAAGTTCCAGACCTTGTCTCAAAAAAACAAAAAAGATTTTCACTCTCATGTTCCTAAGCAAGGGTTCATCAAATATCTACTAGTTCTAGAAGATAAATGTCCTCAGATAGGCAGAGCAGGAAGGGCTCTGGAGAGCACACTGCTCTCAGAGAACACCTCATTCCTTTCTCTGGCTACTCCCTTTAGTCTGATGAAGGCCTGGCTTTCATTTCCAACATCACTCAGTAAGTAAAGCTCCTGAAACCCAGAAGTATCTCTTATGTGGCTCGGCGCCCTCAACCTTCTGGATGACTGAGAGGGAATCTCGCCATTAAAGGCCTCACGGCTCTCTCTGCGCTCGCAGCTCGGCAGGCTCGCGCCCTCCTTCCACCTGCACTCGGGCTCCGCATTGCCCCCAAGTCCACAGCCCCCGCAGCCCTGTAAAGCCCTTCACGGTTGGCCTTTCCTCCAGGAAGACCTCTTGTCAGATCCAGAGACTTGCTGTCTGTCTCAGGCTGCTACGCGGCAGGGACAAACCATGCAGGCCCTCACCCAGTACCAGGGTGAGGACTGATTCACATTAACCTGGGGATTGAGTCTCTTAAACCTTCCTCAGGATAAAAGGTGGCTCAAAGCTGTCTGGGCCCTGTCAAGACCTCCTCACATCTTCAACTGCGGCCAAGCTACAAGACCTGCGAACATGAGTTCATCTGTCCACACATGGGACTGTCCTACTCTGAAAAGTTCACACAGTCCATTCCTATGTGCCTCTTAGAGTTCAGTCTCTTCTTTTGGGGGGGAGGGCACTCAAGTGAAACCCACTTTTTTTTTTTAACTTTATGTGTATGAGTGCATTGCCTGAATGTATGTGAGTGCACCCGTGTCATGCAGTGCCCTCAAAAGAGGGCTTCGGATTCCCCTGGAACTAGAGTCAAGGACGGTTCGTAGTCGCCATGTGGGTGCTGGGACTCAAACCTGGGTCCTCTGCAAGAACAGTCAGTGCTCTTAACCACTGAGCCATCTCTCCAGCCCCAAAACCCACTTTTTAAACACTCCCAGACCCTGACGAGGAGCTTACTTTTCTTTCCTTTCTGAGATCTATGCTATAATTTTACAAGCTCTCTCTTTCCATCCCACCATGTCCTAAAGGACCCTTCCCCTTTCAAGGATGGCCCCCATTTTTACTCCTGTACCCTCACACTGCTGGATCCCGGGAGATAAGATAGATGATAGATAGATGATAGGTAGATAGATAGATAGGTAGATAGATGATAGCTAGATGATAGCTAGCTAGCTAGATGATAGGTGATAGAGAGATGATAGATGACAGATAGATGATAGCTAGATAGGTAGATAGATGATAGAGAGATGATAGAGATGATAGATAGATGATAGAGGTTCTGCCCATCTTAATGATCACTACTGCGTTCTTTGCCTGTCTTCGTCATTTCCATGTCGTCACCTGTCCCTGCGTGTCTACCTTAACCTTCTTTCCCTGTAGAGAACCAGGGTGACGGTGGTGCTGGATCAGGGCTACTCAAATGACTTTGCTCACATTCCTCCGTCTTAAGGGGCCAACCCCTCCTTTGCCCTGGCTGGGGCTAAGACACTCGGGACCTCCTCAGAAGGAGCCTTGGCCACAATGCAGTCCTGTCTTGGGATGGTTCTCTTGGTGCTCACAGCTTCCTATTCTGACTAAGCCACTGCTATTTCAAGCCTCAGAACCACATGCCCCCAGCTGTGCTGCCTCCGGAGAGACCTCCTTTGCTTTCAGATGCCCCTCAGCCCCTCACTCCAGCCATAAACAAAAACAGCTGTTTCACTCCAGGGTCTTAACCAACACACAGTACAGGCCTCCTGGCTGGGTCAAGTCCTCAGCAGCTTTGGGGTGGGGTGGGAGGTGGGGGTGGGCTCTAAGCTCTCACAGCCCTTTCTTGTTTTTAATTCTGCTTTGTGTCTCTGGCCCCTGGTCAGGTACCTCGTGGTACAACTGGTGACTTCCTGACTTCAGGTCTTTAGGCTCCAGGTGGTTTTGTCTTAGGGACAGTAGCCATTACCACTGACCTCATCACTGGCTCCTACCACCCAGGATCTGGTGTCATAGTCTGACCTCTGTTTTCCTGTGACAGCAACTCTACCTCCCTTCCCAAAGAGCTTCTGGAGTATTTTATGTCCTGTGGTCTCATGACTCTGTGACCAATCAGCAAGGCCAGTGAGGGTCCTCAGTGCCTCTGCTCAGCTCTGAAGCAATTCCAGAAGATGACTTCCGTCCTTTGTGAATGCCTTGACCTTGCTGACCTGTCTTGTTGGGGGGATGTGGACACTGCTGTGACAGATGGCTGTGTTGAGCCATTTTGGCCTCAGAACATGGCTGTTTTACTTCAGAGCAGGCTGGGCTCAGAGCAAGGCTGTTGTTGCTTTTAAGCAAGACCAGAAAGAGTTAACCTTGGGGCTGGAGGGATGGCTTAGAGGGAAACGGGCTTGCCATGCACGTGTAAGGGCCTGAGCTTGGATCCCCAGGACCCACATGAAGCCGGGTGTGGTAGCATGTGTCGGTAATCCCATCCCCAGGACCCACGTGAAGCCAGGTGTGGTAGCATGTGTTGGTAATCCCAATGCGTCTTCAGGAAGATGCAAAGTGGAGATAAGACACTCCTGAGCCAGCGAGACAGGCACACATAGCCGAAAAAGAACAAGAGCCTCCGTCCCAAACAAGGCAGAAGTCGAATACGAACATCTCCACACGTGTGTGGCACATGCCCATTGTACTCACAGCATGTGCGCACGCACACACACACACACGCACACAATTAATTTAGGGGCTGGAGAGATTGCTCAATGGTAAAGATCATGTACTGCCATTGCAGAGGACCCAAGTTCAGCTCCCTGAAGCCATGTCATGCAGCTCACAACTGTCTATAACTCCAGCTTCAGGGGATCTGATACCTCCGGCCTCCATGAGCACCTGCCCTCATGCCCACATACACAGAGATACATAATTAAAAATAATACAAATCTTTAAAAAATTAATTTAGCTAGGTGTGGTAGTACAAATTTTTTGGTTTTTTTTTGGTCTTTTTGAGACAGGGTCTCCCTGTAGCCCCAGCTGTCCTGGAACTCACTATGTAGACCAGGCTGGGCCTTGAACTCGCAGAGATCCACTTGCCTCCAAGTGCTGGGATTAAAGGCGTGCACCACCACACCTGGCCGGTAGTACAAACTTTTAATCCCAGTATTCAAGAAGCATGGGCAAGCAGATGTCTGCGAATTCAAGGCTAGCGTGGTCTAAATAGTGAGATCCAGGTCAAGCGAGGGCTATATAGTGAGACCCTGTCCAAAAAAAGAATTAATTTAAATGTTTAAAAAAGGAAGAGATAAACTTAACAAGTCCTGTCTTGCTAAGTCTCTCCTGGTGTCATGACAGCACTGTAGAGAACTATATTCTTTAATGAGCAACTTGGACCATCAGGAGTCTGACCCGCAGTAACCTGTGGTATCTTGTACCGATAACCAGTGCCAGGAAGAAACAATTTATACTGTAAAACTTACTCCTCAGTAAAAGAATGGAACGTCTGCCTGAGCACCCAGACATGAGCCCACACAGATGTCCCACCTGGATAACCAGGGCACAGTGCCATCCCAACACTTCCTGACTGCCCATAGGAACTGGAGGCCTCTGTGCAGACTGCTTCTCTCTGTCTTGCATTGTGCTGTACTGAATAAACTCTACTGTGGCCTTTTCCTGTCTCTGGCAAATTCTTTTCTTTTTTTTCTGAGGCAGGGTCTCATATAGCTCAGGCTGGCCTCAAAATCACTATGCAGTCAAGGGCTGGCCTTGAACTCCAGATCCACCTGCCTCAGCCTCCTATGTGCTGGGGTTACAGGCATGTGCCACCACACCCAGCTCTGGTAAATTCTTTCACTGCCTGTGTATTACCAGCCTGTCACTGCCATTTCCTGGCAGGGCAGGTAGAAGGTTAGTGATAAGCAGGCTTGTGAAACCCGTCCTCAGGGTCACTGAAGACAGCGCTGCAGCTGGAGTGCTGAGTCTGTGGGTGTGCGGCAGGAGGTGAGGGTGGAAAGGTGAGTGGAACATGAACCGGATGCTCAGTCATTTTAGAACGAGGCCACCTCTTCTCCTGTCAGATTAAAGTGGCCAGGGATGGTAAACCTCTGGTGCTGTGTCGACACAGAGTGCAGTGAATTTCACTTTTTTTTTTGGTCTTTTTGAGACAGGGTCTCCCTGTAGCCCCAGCTGGCCTGGAATTCAGAGATCCTCCTGCCTCTGCTAGGATTAAAGGCATGTGCCACCACACCTGGTAAAATAAACAAATCTTTAAGTAAAAAAGAAATCCTTATTTGAGTTACATAAAAATAGAATCATCAAGTACCAAAAATGCAACTAAACTGTGGTTCATTTGATCACCACAACCTCCGTCTTAGTGAGGCAAATCAGACTCAGAGAAGTTAGGGTACAGGCCCACCTAGATATTTTCCGCTAGGTGGAAGGTTCTAGATGGGATTTTAGTAAGGGTGGTGCTCTACAGAGCTACTTCTATGGTACTGCAAAATCAACAGGCAGGTTCCATGTTTTTTTTTTCAGTTTGGAATTTGGTAGAACTGATCTAAAAGTACATTCTTCAAATTAGGTTGCCTGTTTCAGGGGGAGGGAGTCCCAGGAAGCCAAGCACAGACATGTTTCTGGTACGAAACATCTGAACATTGCCTGTAGTACATTAAAAACAAGTCAGCAGTAGTCTCCTTGTTTAGGTTAGATTTTTTTTTTTTTGGTCTTTTTGAGACCGGGTCTTCCAGTAGCCCCAGCTGTCCTAGAACTCATTATATAGACCAGGCTGGCCTTGAACTCACAGGCTGGCCTTGAACTCACAGCCTCTACCTTCTGAGTGCTGGGATTAAAGGCATGAGACACCACGACCGGCTAGGTTAGATTTTTTTGTTTGTTCTTTAGAGAGAGTCTTATGTCTTATGCCCTAGCCCAGGATGGCCTTGAGGTTATCCTCACCATCTTCCCAAGTGCTGGGGTTATTGGGCTGTGCCACTGATCGGTCTTAACTGCACTTTTGTGACTTGAGTTTGGGTGGCAGACTGATGAAAACTGGTCCTGCAGTGTTTCAGAACTGTATGTGGAGGAACACGGATCTGTTCATAACCACAGGAGCAGTAAATCACCAGTATCTACTAAGTACTTACTACATACCAGGTCTTATGTCCACTGGTTACCAAAACTGAGTATGTGCTGGCATGGTACTCTGAACATAGGCACAATCACTGTACAATTCTATAACGTGTCAGACAGGGCACTCCAGCCACTGGGGCTGCATGGGTTCCAACCCCTGTTCTGCCCTGTGAATAGCTGTGGAACTCTGGCAAGGACTTAACTTCTCAATGCCCAGTTTCCTTATCTGGGAAGGGGGGGTAATATCAATACTTATCTCAGAGGGTTGTTTTGAGGATTAAATGAATTACTTTGTAAGAATTTTCTTAGCAAAGGCTGCTATTGTTTCAATTCTGCACAGGGAGGTACAGACTAAACTTGGGGAAAACTTTATTGTGGCTGGGAACTGAACCCAGACATTCAGCTGCACAGCCGCCTACCTTTTGTGCTACAGGCAAATAACCAGTGAAGAAACAAAGTAGTCATTTATCTACAAAGACAGGAAATTTTAAGACTAGCTGCAAGCTGGGGGTGGTGACACCTACCTGTAATCCTAGCACTTGGGAGGCTGAGGCAAGACTTGCAGTGTTTGAGGCCAGCCTGGGGTACAACAGAAAGTCCCTGATTCAAGAAAACCAAACCCCACACCACAATGGCTAGCTTATTTCTCAACCACTACCTGGCTTTCATTTCAGATCTGATCAGCCTCCCATAACCAGCTTCCCATGACCAGCGCCCCAGGGGTCAACTCACCATCAGGGCCCTGGCGGGCAGCAGCATGCAGAGCCGTGTCCCCATGGCGGTCCTGGTGTGCAGGGTCAGCCCCAAGACGCAGCAGCAGGCACAGGGCAGGGGCATCATGGCGGGCACAGGCCCGGTGGAGGGGTGGGGGCTGCCCAGCATCCACATCCAGGCCTGGGTGTCTCTGGAGGAGGGCCTGGGCCCGGACCAGCCGCCCCGCAGACAAGTAGCGCCGGAAGCGTCGCTCTCGGCGCTGCCGGCGGGAAGCAGAGGCCATGGAACTCTTGGGCTGAGAAGGGAAAAAAAAAACCATCAGGATCCCAGCCTGGGCGCTTCTCCTCCATCTCCAACCTGCCCTCTTCCTTCTCCCATCCCTTGTCTCCCTGCACATCCCCAGGAAAAGATGAAGACTATGTCAAACTCTCATTCCTAACCAGCGGACAACTTTGGCGACGAGAAAAAAAAAAAACCCTGGAGTTGGAGCTGAGGTCACAGAACTCATTTTGGATGCAATTTTGGAGAAAATGATACATAATCGTTTTAAGAGCCCTGGGAGGGGGCTTTAAAAAAAAAGTTAATTATGAACTTTGGGGACCAGAAAAAAAAAAAAAAAAGACTCAAGCCGGACGGGGGGAAATTTTCATCAGCCAAAATTTGAATTTAAAAAAGTCACAAATTCAAAGAATGATGTAGAAATTGAATAGAGGGTACCCGGCAGACAGACGTCGAGGCTTCTTCCTCTGGGACCTGGGGGGAGGGGTTACTCATCAGCCCAGCTCCCCGCCCCCCCGAGGACCCTCAGAGCTGCAGGCCCCAGGCCTGGGTTTAAGTCGCTCGGAGCAGGGAGGCGGGAAGGGAGGAGACGCTCCAGGCTGCCGGAAGTGGTGCAAGCACCCACGGCAGGTTTTGGGCGGAAATGAACGAGGAGGCATGTTACCGGAAGTCATTCTGCCCCGACTGCGTGGTTACTGGTTAACGCCTCCCGTGGGGAAACCAAGCAACGTGCGACTTAAAATTCCCCTGAAACCGGAAGACAGGATTAGGATTAGAGGAGAGGATCGGGAAGCAAATCTGGGGCTGGGAGACAGGAGGACTATTTTGAGGTTTATTCTGATCTCTCTGTTCAGTAAGAGATAGAAAAATGGAAAGAGAAAGAGGAGACAGGGGAAAGAATAAAAGAACTACAGGGAAAAGGAAACCTGAAAGCCCACAATGAACTAAGCAGAGAAAACACAAAAAGACACCGAGAAGACAGTCGTAGGTCAGGACAAGTGAGATGCCTGCAGAAATTTGGACTTGGGAAAAGTATATCTATAGATAGGTATAGATGGATAGATGGATAGATAGATAAAGGGAGCGGGGCAGAGGGGCGTGTGGAGAGTTGGAAGAGAGCCGGACGTATTAAGTGAAGCCTTCCCCTAGCCGCATCCCTACAACCCTTGACTGGAGAGGCCTGCATCTGCTGCCAAGTTGTCAGCAGCTTAGGGCCCGGTCTCTGCTGTCCCCCAGCGACCATCCGGAGTACTGCCTTAGTGAGGTGGGAGAGGAGGACCAGTCATCAGTGGGAGGATGAGATTAGGAGAGGAGACTGAGTGAAAGGGGGAGCACTAAGACCCAGTGGTGGAGGAGGAGGGCAGCAACGAGCTGCAGAAGTAGGCGAGGGAGGGTGGGAGCCATCTGTACCTTGGTCGCCTTCCTAACAGCATCAGCTCTAGCGGTAGAAATGGCCAGTCAGTCTCAGGGTATCCAGCAGCTCCTCCAAGCTGAGAAACGGGCAGCGGAGAAGGTGGCAGATGCCCGAAAGAGTAAGCCTTCTCTTTTCTCCCTTAGGAATCTGGAAGGACATTTTGGGGAGGCTAGGGCACATCTGAGTCTTTAGGAAAACCCAAGACTACGGGGGGGGGGGGGCGCGCGTGTGTGTGGTATGAACAAAACAAGAGGAGAGGGGGGGGGGGGGGGCGAGCAGGAGGCTGAAGGTGATTAGGGAGGAAGAAGTGGGTGGGTGTTGGAATCTAGCATCTGGTTGGCTGATGGCAGGCTGAATAACTTTCTGGAGGGGACTGATCCCAGATACCACGCCTTGTTGGGGGTGGGGGTCATCCATACCCACTGTCCTCTACCGGCTAGGGAAGGCCCGGCGACTGAAACAGGCAAAGGAGGAGGCGCAGATGGAGGTAGAGCAGTATCGCCGGGAGAGGGAGCAGGAATTCCAGAGCAAGCAGCAAGCGGTGAGTTGCCGGGAGGCAAGGGTCCCTCTTCCTTGGTGCAGGCTGGTGGGTGCATCTAGTGAGGTGTGCACCAGTGACTCAACAAGAAACGAGGTGACAGAATGCTGAGGGGCCCCTGACAGGGATCACAACATCGGTAAAGCTCTGACAGGATATGTAAGGCAGTCTGGAGGCTTTGAAGGGCATGTGCAGCTTGTGGAGTATGGTAATGTGGTGGGGGGCAGAGTTTTATGATCCTGGTGGTGAGAGGGTGGGTCTGTTTTTCAGGATGGGGTTGTATGTCGGGTCTTAGATCCTGGTACCTGGATGTTTGGGGGGATGGGAATATTTTGAAAAGGCTTTTCTTCTTGGCCTTGTTCAGCTCGTTCCCTTCACACGCTAGGCCTTTTCTCTCCCTATTTCTGCTTTTTTCTTTCTCTCCTCCACCACTTCCCCCCAGGCCATGGGCTCTCAGGGAAACCTGTCTGCTGAAGTGGAGCAGGCTACGAGGCGCCAGGTACAGGGCATGCAGAGTTCTCAGCAGAGAAATCGGGACCGGGTCCTGGCCCAGCTCCTTGGCATGGTCTGTGACGTCAGGCCCCAGGTCCACCCCAACTACCGGACTGCCACCTAGAACCACTGCGTAGGACCCAGTCTGGAGTCTGACTCCTCGTGCCTGTTCCTTCCACAGAGACATCTCCCAAATCCAAATCGCTTCCCTTGTCCAGCATGCACAGAGCCATGGGTTTACTGTCTGGTACCCTCCTTTCCATAGTAATCATTTCCTAGGAGAGAGGATTCTAGGAGACATGACCCAATAGTCTCCTATGAGACTTAAAAATACCTGGCTCAAACCTGAATCTCTGTGTGCTGTAACACTGGAACTTTAAATTAAGAAATGCCCAAGCTGTCTTCATCCAACCGTTCCGTGAAATGTGCATCATGGTGACACGGGCTGTGGAAAGCACCCTGACTTCAGAGCTGGCAGATTTGGGGTTCTTCTCCCAACCCTGGCCCTTGCTGGCTATGCTGCTGGGACAAGGTACTTAACCCAGAAGCTTCAATGTCCTTCTCTTTGCAACTGGGATGATAACAGTGCTTACCTCCTGAGTCACTAAAAATCATTCTGTAGGGGCTGAAGAGATGGCTCAGCGGTTAAGAGCCCTGACTGCTCTTGCAAAGGACCCAGGCTCGATTCCCAGCACCCACATGGTGGCTATGAACCGTCCTTAACTCCAGTTCCAGGGGAATCCGATGCCCTCAAGTAGTAGTTGCAGTTTAACAAATGGCATATCCATATTACAAACACCCTCTGCTCTCCTGCCCAATCCTTAATACTTTGTTTCCTGACTTTGGTCAGTGGCTCTCTAATTCAGCTCATTCATTGTGACTCTAGTCATTCTCTGAAAAACTTGTTTTTCCTGTCTCTCTGCAGACACATTAGGACCCCTGAAACGATGAAATTATGTCATTTAGCCCCTCTATCAAAGTTCCAAGTACATGCTGTGCCCCTTAGCTCCTCTTTCTCTCCTAAGCTAGCCTTTCTCTTTCCCCAAAGCCTGAGATGTTTCCTACGACTTGAAGTGATACTGTGTCCTCTGTGCGCATGGCCTTGCAGAACGCACCCTCAGTACCTTGCTTTCCCTTTGTAACAGCAAACTCTCAATAAAATAACTATGGCCGAATCAGTTGGTGGGTGGAAGCAGCCTCTTCTTACCTCCTCATCTCTCATTTTGAACTACTGTCTTGAGAATTCTGCATTTATATAGTCTCTAAACACTGCAAATGGCTATCCTTGGGAAGCTTTCTGGGGAGACAAAAGCAAACGGTTTCTGTAAGTGGGAAACATGAGTCTTCCTTTGGGAACTTGGGGATTAAATACACCGCCTGTAAGAGGAAAGCTAGTGTGGAAAAACCAACACTCTTTGCACCTTACCTTGTTTTTTTCTGCACTTGAGACTTGACATTATATGCTTACGTGGTGACTTTCATGATATAAAGTATCCGAGGACAAGGCTGCTGTGTCCCCAGGTCCTAGGATAGCACTTGGCACATGGTGGGCAGTTCATAAATACTGGGGAATAAATCAGGTGATGCCTCGAGGTGGGCACTGCTCTTTTATGACTCTTATTCTTCCATCAGTTCTTTTCACCAGGAAAGACAAGTTTGTTTCACTTAGGACTCGGATGAATGAGGTAACCAATCTTATTTTGTTGTATGACTTTTCCTTGGGTAGACATGAATAAAAAAGTCTATTCACCCCAGACAGGGCACTGATAAAAGACCAAAGAAACAATTTCATCCAGATCTAGCTTCGTGAAAGCAGCAGGGTAGTCGGTCTAGTTAGCTCTTTGTTACTGTAATAAAACACTGACCACAATTAACTTGGGGAAAGAGTTTATTCTTCTGACAACTCCCAGGTCACTGCCCATCACTGAGGGAAGGCAGGGAAGGAAGTCAAGGCAGGAACCTAGAGGCAGGAACTGAAGCAGAGAACGTGGAGGAATGTTGCCTGCTGGCTTTCTTCCCCTGGTTTGCTCAGCTACATTTCCTTTTTAAAAATTTATTTATTTATTTATTTACTTATTAATTTTGGTCCTTTTGAGACAGGGTCTCCCTTTAGCCCCAGCTGTCCTGGAACTTACTATATAGACCAGGCTGGCCTTGAACTCACAGAGATCCACCTGCCTTTGCCTCCCGAGTGCTGGGATTAAAGGCGTGCACCACCACGCCCGGATTAAAATTTTTAAAAAATATATTTTATTTATTATTTTTAATATGTATGCGTGTTTTGCCTGCATGTGTGTAAGTGCACCCATGTTGTGAAATGCCCACAGAGTTGAGAGGAGGGCGTCAGATCCCCTGGAACTGGAGTTATGGACAGTTGTTAGCCACCATGTGCGTGCTGGGAATTGAACCTGGTTCCTCTACAAGAGTACGCAGTGTTCTTAGCCGCTGAACCATTTCTCCAGCCCCCTCAGCTACATTTCTTATACAGCCCAGGCCTACCTGCCCAGAAGTGGCACCACCCACAATGGGCTGGATCCTCCCACATCAATCAGCAATCAAGAAAATGCCCCACAGACATGACCACAGGTCAGTCCAATAGAGGAAATCCCTCAACTGAGGCTCCCTCTTCCCAGGGGTGTCAAGTTGACAATCAAGACTAATCTTCACAATGGGTGAGGGGTGTCTTATAGGGGTCAGGGAGACTTGAGCAGCTAAATCATCAAAAAGTCCACACCTGCACGGGGACAATTCCAGTACCACTGGAGTTCTCTGCACAATTTGTAGGCAGTGCCACCAAAGAGATTCCTCTCAGGGATGGAGAGATGGCTTATCAGTTAAAAGCACTTGGCTGTTCTTGAAGAGGACTCAGGTTCTGTTCCCAGCACCCACATGATGACTAACAACTGTCTGTAACTCCAGTTCCAGAGGGGATCCAACACCCTCTTTCGGCCTCTGCAGGCATTGCACACACATGGATGCAGTTACATACACATTCACACAGGGGGCTGGAGAGATGGCTCAGCGGTTAAGAGCAATGACTGCTTTCACAGAGGACCTGGGTTCAGTTCCCAGCACCCATGTGGCAGCTAATAACCATCTGTAATTCCAGATCCCTGTCTTCTGGTCTCTGCAGGCATTGCACACATGTAGTGTGCTTACATATATGCAGGTATAATACTCCTACACATTAAAAAGGAGTTTGAGGCCAGCCTAGGCTATATAACAGACTCTGACTTGTGGGCAGAGAAAGAAAGGAATAACGGTCTCTCCCTAGGTCAGCTAGGCCACTCTTTTGTCAAACCTGGCCATTTTGAACATTCTATGAATGCCTTGAGGAAGACAGTGGTCACAGCTGCTCGCTCCTGCTTGTGAACGTGCAGCTTGAGTCAGGACGGTTTCAAACAGTTGGCACTGGATTTTTTGCTATTATAAGCCTTGGTAGAATCCCCTAGTGATGTAGTGAAATGACAGTGACTAGTGCTGAAGGGGCAATGTTGTGACTGGAGCAAACAAGCCGTCATGTGCAGGAGGTTTACTATGATTGGCTATAAAGGAGATTGTCTGGCTCAGCTGGTGGGTCAGCTGAGCGATCCTCTATGCTACCCTCCTCTGTGAATGGCAGCATTAGGGTCAATAAAAGGTCTCTGCGCCAGGTGTGGTAGCACACATCTTTAATCTCAGCACTCAGGAGGAAGAGGCAGTTGGATCTCTGTAAGTCTGATGCCAGCTGGTGCTACATAGTGAGACCCCCTACTACTGTACCCCCACCCCTATTAAGGTTCCAACAGGGTCTCAAGGACTTCTCATGCCCAACTGATAAACACCTTGGTCTTTGAAGTCAAAAGAAGCAGACTTTTTTCCACTTTGATCTCTAAAGAGCAGGCTTCCCCTTTGATCTCTAAAGAGAACAGGATTTTTTTTTTTTTTTTTTTTTTTTTTTTAGAGGGGGTCTCCTTGTAGCCCCAGCTGTCCTGGAACTCACTATGTAGACCAGGCTGGCCTTGAACTCACAAAGATCCGCCTGCCTCTGCCTCCCAAGTGCTGGGATTAAAGGTGTGCGCCACCACGCCTGGCTGGAGAACAGGTTTTAACAGTCCCGCTCTCCCACTCCCCGCCACTTAAAAAAAAAATACGTCTTCCCACCTTCTGCTGGAAGCAGAAGCCTCCCCCTTAAAAGACCCCAGCTCACGATCCGATCCAGGGCAGACATTTTCCCTGCCCAGAAAGGAATCTGCCCCGTGTGTTCCTTTGCTAATAAACTCTGCTTTCTCCTGATCACCCTATTCCTCATACCGCTACTTTTTATCTATCAACCCTCACCCCCCCGCCTTCTTGATGCTCACAGCAGTGAAATACGGAGGTATACAAGTTACCAAAGGCCAGCACTTGAAGAGGTCTCCGTGCCTACCCATGATTTGTGAGTAGAGCAAATGTATACAGCCAGCTGACTGGCTACAATGGTATCTTCTTATGGTTAAATGATTAAGTGAATAGGGAAAATACCAAACTCTTGTTCTCATAAAAGCCTCCTTCAGACTTTTATGTAGCATCTCAAAGAGGGGGGGATATCACTTATTCGGGGCGGGGGAAGAACACTGGTGCTGAACCATGGGGGGCAGAAGACTCCAATTAATAACTGTGAAAAGCTACATAACCCTCAAACCCTTCCATTTATTTTAACACTTGGGGCAGAACCTAAGCCTCCCTCTCTCATGATGGACATGTCCCTGTCCCACGGGGGGCCATCACTTGCTACACTGGCCAGGATCACTTTGGGCAAACGCTGCCCACTCTGCCCACAGCTCAGGCCAGTCCAGCTGCCCTCAGGTCACCTTCACAACGGGCTCAGGACCCCGTGAGAACTCGCGGCCCTGGCGCCGGCTCTCCACACGCCGGGGCCTCGTGTGCCCACAGCGAGGCGTCCAGAGAGAAGCCTGCCGGGGCAAAATCCGAAGTAAAGTCCGTAGCCAGGCGTGGGAAAACGAAGTTGGAGAATGGCATGAAAAGACGTACGTTCCGTCATAATTTTTATGACTAGCAGTGGCAGAGACGTGAGAAGTGACTTTAGAAATGCATTCCAAACAGTCATCGCCAAGGGCAGCCCCAAAGTCTGCCCGGGGCCCTAGAGACGCGACTCAGGACCCCAAGGCTGGCACTCCGTGCGCATGCGCTCTGGCCGCCGGGAAGGCGGGAGGCTGGCGCGCGGGGAAGAGCCTGCGACCGGAAGTGAAGGCAGTTTCCCTCGTTCGTCCCTGTCGGTGCCGCCATACACGCTCGCAGTGCTTAGGTAAGCTGTGGCCTCCACCATCCACTTCCATCCGCACTTTCCCGCTGTCATCCTGCCGCGTGGGCCCCTGATACCCCTTCCGGGGACTGCGGCCTGGGTGCTCGGGCCTCGCTAGGTCCTTATTTCCGTCCTTTTTGAGGGCAAAACTTGAGGGGAGCAGGGAGACAAGGCGAGGGGGGGCAATCCAAGATGGTCGCCTCGGCAGCCATTGTGTTCCCTTTTCTCTTGGGTCTTCAGGGGATTCCTGGCCCACGCGAGGCCCCAGCAACAGGAGGCGTTGCTAGGTGGCCTCTGGTCCAGTAGAAGAGGGCGGGGCTTTCCTCCTGTTCCCACTAGGCCCCTTCTTGGCCTCATGGAGCCTGCTTTGGGGCCCAGTTGAACTTTGCTCCCCCTCTAACTGCCCACCCTTAGGTGGATGCCCTCAGTGGTTCCCGTGGTGTGTGGTACCCCTGATACCACTTGGGTATTTGTGACCTGATTAGTGCAGATTAGTGAGACCCCTTGGTGCACATTTTGTTAACGCTGGAGTGGGGTTTATCTTTTTCTCAACTGTGTCCACCTCCTTAAACTTGACTATTTATTCTTAAACTTTATTGTAGTTGCTGCAGCGCTAGGCTGAACCCCACGTCGCACATATGCTAAGCAAGCTTTCACCGAACCCATTCTTAGCCATGCACTCGGCTATTCATGACACAGGCCTTCCTTTTTCCCTTCACCCTCCTTCCCACTGGCATCCCAGGTGTGCACTACCAAGAGGGCACACAGGTGTGTCTTAACCTCCGTAGATGGACGTTGAGGCGCGGGAGGGCGAGAGCAGCCACATGATGTTTGAGTTTTTGGAAATGAGCGCTCTGCGCAGTGCTGACCTTTTATCTATCACCCTTGACTGATGGCTGCTCTGGTAGGGGCCCGTCTTTAGGGAAAGCATAGTCTGTCTCCCTTTGGGGGTTTTAAAGGATTTTTCTTTTGTCATTTCCCTTTCTGCCGTCCCTGAGCTCTACTCAGGGTCTCTAAGTTGGTCCTCTCCTGCCTAACTTGTGTGGGCCTAACGCTGGTTAGGAATCGTTATCTGAAACCACTTTCTCCATTTTGTTCCCTCTGGTGTTTTTATCTCGTGTGCCTGTGTTATTTTTCTTTCCGGGGTAAATGTAGTTTAGGGAAAGTGGTGGGAAGCCCGTGGAGCTGGAAAGGAGCGGCTTCTGTTCACACTGACAAGTTTTCTGTTTTGATTCCCACCCCCCAGCTCTTCTGTCAGAAACCGGTGTCTTTTCACTCACTGTTCCTCAGTCCTCTCTCTTTCCCCTGTTCTGGGAGCACTCATCCGAGCCACCCGCCCTTCTCCCCTGCCGGCCTAGTTATGGCGGAGAACGATGTTGACAATGAACTCTTGGACTATGAAGATGATGAGGTGGAGACGGCAGCCGGGGGAGACGGGGCCGAAGCCCCTGCCAAGAAGGATGTCAAGGGCTCCTACGTCTCCATCCACAGCTCTGGCTTTCGTGACTTCCTGCTCAAGCCGGAGTTGCTTCGAGCCATTGTCGACTGTGGCTTTGAGCATCCATCCGAAGGTAAGTTTTTCGTTGTACGTAGAGACCTCATTAAGAACCTTAGGGACACAAGGGGAAAAAGCGTCTGCAGTTCCTGCCTCAGGTGGTAAAGATTCATACTGAGGACGGACCAGGCAGTAAGGGAGCCCAAAAGGAAAAGGTTGATAGAAGAGACTGTTGGCTGGTCCTCAGACGTGCTAGTGAGCCAAAGCCAGAGGAGACCGCCATTTGTTCTTGTGCCTTGCGTTTCTTGTTTGCTTGTTTTTAGTTTTTTTCATTTTGACTATTTGAAGTTTTTATGAAAGGGCCTTTAGTGCCCCTCTTTTGGTCCAGGCTGACTTTGGTCTCTGGAAACCTTAATGACTGGTCTAAAGATGGCTGGCTTCTGGGTCAGGTACCAAGTCCTTCATTTTGTTCAAGGTTGCAGGGTTACGTGACCCAAAAGCATGGCAACCTATGTAGGAGAAATGGCCTGTGGCAGGCATTCAAATGTCATGGATTGTTACAGTTAAGAAAAATCAGGACAGCCAGGAGCCCTGAAGGTGAGCTCGTGGTAGGTGCAGGAGGCTGTTAGTAACACTGGGGTGGCCCGGACTGAGAGGACGCAAGGAGAATGTAGGCGGGTCTGATTCTGGGATAAATGTTAAGGGGCAGAGAGTCTGAAAGTTGGCAAGAACAAGGTACATAATTTGAGGAGTGACTGGAAAGAAATGGGCTTGGCGTGGTAAAGAGGAGTCATGTGGAGAGCCAGGTCTATGTATGTGTTTTTTCTTCTAGTCCAGCACGAATGCATCCCTCAGGCCATTCTGGGGATGGATGTCCTGTGCCAGGCCAAGTCAGGCATGGGAAAGACGGCAGTGTTTGTCTTGGCCACACTGCAGCAGCTGGAGCCGGTTACTGGACAGGTGCGCTGGGGGGCGTGCTGGAGGGGGCTTCTCGGCAGGCCAGGAGTGCTTGACTATTTCCTGACGGTTGAGGATGATCTGTAAAAGCATGGGTTTGATGGTTTAGATCTGCCAGGGGTACTTCTGTGACTGTCACTGCTGAGGGAGTGATGCAGGACTGTGAACCTGCTGTGTTTTTGTCTGCTTCCCTCCCAAGGTGTCTGTCCTGGTGATGTGTCACACTAGGGAGTTGGCTTTTCAGATCAGCAAGGAATATGAACGCTTCTCAAAATACATGCCGAATGTTAAGGTAAGCCAGGGCATAGAAACCTGGGCAGGGAGGCACTGGGAACAAAGGGGCAGCGGTGGCCCATGTCTGCAGCTGTTTAGTACCTGTGATCCTCCCTGTACATGTTGGTTCCTGTGCACTGTTTAGACCTCGTGGATTTGCTGTTGCAGTTTTGGGGGTGCTTGCCTCACCTTGGTTTGAATGCACCTGTGTATGTACGCTTACCACAGACCACTTTTTTCCTTTTTTTTTTTTTTTTAAAGCTTGAGACAGTGTCTCAATCACTTTTACTCTGGTTGGCTTTGAGGTCACTCTTGCCCAGTTAGGCCTTGAACGTGCCATCCTCCTGCCGCAGCCTCCCGAGTGGTCTTTGCCTCTGGGCCTGCCAAGAGCCCCCTCCACTTAGTGCACTCTGAGTCCTTTCGTGGTGCTTGGTTGATAGCGTGAGAGGTTGGGCGCGTGTGGGAAGAGCAGACGCTGAAGGAGCTGGTTCCTGGTGTGCATGTCGAGACTCTAGAGGCGACTGGGGCCTGCAACCGAGTCTTCTTTTTTAAAAATATATTTACTTATTTTATGTTTGCGAATGTATTGCCTGCATGTGTATAAGTGCACCCGTGTTGTGAAATGCCTGAAGAAGTCAGAAGAGGGTATCCGATCCCCTGGAACTTGAGTTACTTACAGATGGTTGTTGGCTGCCATGTGGGTGCTGGGACTTGAACCCAGGTCCTCTGCAAAGAGCAGCAGTGCTCTTAACTGAGTGCCATCTTTCCAGCCCCAGAGTTTTCTATTATACAACCTTGATACCTGGAGTGTGACCCCATACCAGTAGCGGAACCTGCAAATAGTTACATATTTTCATGCTTGGGTGTATGTGTCACCTGTATGTGAAAGTGCATCCTAATGTCCCTATGGTTGGAGGTGGAAAGACTATGTAACTACTTACTTGGTTAGGGTGAGTGAGGAGCAGTGCTTTTCAAATTGTTACAAAACACCTTGTTTCATTTCAGTGTGTGCTGTGCTTCCAACTGCCTCCACTTCTGGGTGCTGGAATTACATACAGGTGTGCACCACCGCACCTGATCACCTCATGTTGTAAAAGAACTAGGAATGTTTGAGATGGAGCCCTAGACTAAAAAAAATTTCCTAAAAAACAAAGTGGGGGCTGGAGAGATGCTCAGTGGGTGAAAGTACTTGCCATACAAGCCTAGTGACCGGAGTTCGATCCCTGGAACCCACATGTAGGTGGACGGAGAGAACTTGACTCCAGAGTTGTCATCTGGTCTTCACGTGTGCCGTGGCATGTGTGTCCCCTTACACAGCACACACAAACACACAAGATGATCAGTCTTTTTTTTTTTGTAGCCCCAGCTGGCTATTATCTTACAGAGATTCTGCCTCCTGAGTGCTGGTTATTAAAGGTGTATGCCACATAGCAAGTTCCAGACTAATTGGGGCTACCAAAAATATTTTTATGTGTATGAGTGTTTTGCCTTGTAGATGTGTAAGTGCACCATGATCCCCTGGAACTGGAGTTATAGATGGCTGTTAGCCATGCGAACCTGGGTCCCTAGAAGACCAGCGAGTGTTCTTAACTGCTGAGCCGTCTCTCCAGCCCTGGCTCTGTTTTCTGTTTGTCAGTTTATAGGTTTATCAGCCTCTTCATGAAACATTCAGCTTGTTTGCACTATTCTACCAGGTATATTGAGAATGATTAATATTATTTTCTGATATTTTGAGGTCCCTGGAGCCCCAGCTGGCCTGAAACTCTATGTAGACCAGGTTGGCCTTAAAACTTGCTGAGATCCACTTGCTTCTGCCTCCCAAGCGCTAGGATTAAAGGCATGCGCCACCACGCCCAGTCTTAATGTCTTCTTTACAGTCATTTAATTCTGAAGGCACTGTGCTAGCACATGCCTCTTGTGAGCACTTCTGCCCTGAGGTCACCAGAGTCAGCCAACTTCAGTCCTTTAACCAAACAGTCTTGTCTAAAGGTTGAAAACCGGAACTGCTTTGGCGGCTCATTCCTACAATCCTAATAGTACTTGGGAGGCTGGGACAGGTGTCCTAGGCTGAAAGATGGCCTGGGCTAAACAAAGGAGAAAGTTGAAGATCGTTTACGTTGTTGTAACTGTGGCAACAGTTGCTCCTAGTCTGTAGTCCAGCTCTGTTCAGTCAGCCTGTGCCACCCTGAATGTTCTTTGTGTCTAGATCAAATTTGAGCCTCGAACGTGGTATAGGCACTGTAGTGCTGGCCACTTGGGAGGCTAAGTAGATCTGCTTGAGCTCAGCAGGACCCTGTGTGCTCCCTCCCCCCAAAGACCAAACCTAGAGTGAGTCTACGTTGTCAAATCTGAATTGCATTGCTTTTCCTTGCTTTGGCTCAAATGTAGTTAAAAGACCTTCAGGACGCTAGGCCATTTCTGTAGAGCCCCCTCAGGGTCTGTCTCCCTCCTCAGGTTTACCCTGTCCTTCCCTCCCAATAGTTCTTCTAGACCAAAATTTATACTTAAAAACTTAATTGAGTCAAGTTAAAATATTTTGGGCAAGAGTGCTCCTGTTTGCCACAAACCTTGTTTACCATCAGTGTTTTTAAAGTTACCATAATATTAGGGTCATGACAGTATGATTCCTTGATTATTCCTTTCCCCCTTGAAATTAGCAATTCAGGACTGGATGTTGTAGTGTACACCTTTAATCCCAGCATTTGGGAGGCAGAGGCAGTTGGATCTTTGGGTTCAAGGCCAACTTGGTCTACATAGTGAGTTCCAAGTCAACCAGAGCTGCATGGTAAGACCCTGTCTCACTAAAAGCAATTCCGTATGCTGTAAGGCCCAGATCCCAACAGCCATTCACCTTACAAGGGTCATTACATTTAGCCTCTGTCAGTAATAGTGTAGGGTCTGTGCCAGTTGAGAAGGAAAGCTTGATGTTCAGTGCTTTGTGTGGCGTTGACCCTTCCTGGGGGCTTTTGATAACCTGTATTCGTTCTTAACGTGAAACCTTTAGACTCACATGAGAATGTAGCGGCCAGGTGAAGGCAGAGGAGTCGAGCGCTTCCCTTCCTGTCCCCGTTAGCCGTGCAGCTTTGAGCAGGTCACTGGCTTCTCACAGAACCTCAGTGTTGGGGGCACATGAGAATTTTTTGGATGAAGTGTTCTTTACAGATTGTAAATGTGAAGTTTGTTGTAGGTCTGAAAGCTAACACTTGGTTTAGAGTCAATTAAAGGGATGGGAATTCTGAAGAGGTTGGGCTCTTCCTTCCTGGTGAGATGCTTTTCCTTTGCCGGCCAGGTGGCGGTGTTTTTTGGTGGTCTGTCTATCAAGAAGGATGAAGAGGTGCTGAAGAAGAACTGCCCGCACATCGTCGTTGGGACTCCTGGCCGCATCCTAGCCCTAGCTCGGAATAAGAGCCTCAACCTCAAACACATTAAACACTTTATCTTGGATGAATGTGACAAGATGCTTGAACAGCTCGGTGAGTGGCAGTGCTCGGGCTCTAGTGGTCTGGGGAACTGCCTTTTGGAGCCAAATGATGTTTGTTTGATACAGGAGCACTTGCGTGCAAGGACGACTCTTGATCTATCACCCATGACTGATGGCTCTCAGTTTTGTTCTCTTTCCCTGGTGCTGGGCGTTGAACCCAGGGCCTTACGCATACTGGACATGTGCTGTACCACCCGAGCTGTACCTCCAGCTGTGATGTTCTTTCTTACAGTGGGTGTTCTGTCTTTGAGAGTGGGGCACTCGGATAATTTTGCAGTCCACATCAGTACCCTTTTCTTCACAGGTTGCTGTACTGGGTGTCGTGGGAGAGATGCTGCACTAAAGAAAGTGTCCAGGCATCCCAGCACAGCGTGTGTGAGTGCGTGTGGTCAGACTGAATGCATGAATAGGGTTCTGGAGTTGTCTCAGGATTAATCACCAGGGAAGTTTGTGTGTTGGGGTATTCCTTTGTGCTGTGGGTGAAAAAAAAGTTTCATTACAACTTCCATTTTGGCAGGGCATGGTGGTGTGTGCCTCTACTACTACTGGGGCGGTAAGGGTAGGTTGATCTGAGTTTGGGGACAGCCTGGTCTGTAGAGTGAGTTCCAGACCATCCAGGGCTACACACATACTGAGACCCTGTCTCAAACCACCCACAAAAAAGAATTCTATTTTGGCCAGTGGGAATATGGAAAGGCAGGAGTGTGTGAGCTGTAGGTGAGAGGCACAGGGTGGCCTGCCTGCTGGAGTGCGGTGAGTGCACTGTGGACCTCTAGAGGCTGGGGCTGCGGAGAGGAGGGCTGGCAGGGGTCTTCGTAAAACTTTGGAAATTCTATTTTTAATGTTTTTAGTTGTTAGTGTGAATGTGAATGTGCAGTGCTTGCAGAGGCCAGAGGCGTCAGATCCCCTTGGAGCTGGACTTAGAACAGTGTGAGCCACCTTACATGGATGCTGGGAACTGAACTTGGGTCCTCTGCAAGTGCAGTGTGCAGTTTTATTGCTGACTTCTCCCTCCAGCCCTCATAAATCATTTTTAACATTGTCCTTGAGAGCCTCTGAAGGGGTCTGTCCCTGATTCATAGATTCTGTCACATTTCTTGTCTGGAACAAAAGGTAGAACCTGACTCTGCGTCTTTTTATGTGTATGAGTGTATGGCCTGCATGTATGTAAGAGTACCTACCTGTGTTGTACAATGCCCATGGAGGTCACAGGAAGGTGTGGGATCCCCTGGAACTGGAGTTACAGATGGTAGTTAGCCGCCATGTGGGTGCTGGGATCTGAACCCAGGTACCCTACAAGAGCAGCCAGTGCTCTTCACCGCTGAGCATCCCTAGCCCCTGAGGTCTTTTCTTGATCTGTTGCTTTCCCATTGGGTCACCACTCTTGGTTTTTTAAGGCAGGGTCTCGTGTAACCAGGCTGGCTCTATGAGCTCCTGATGTTCCTGCCTCTACCTCCCGAGTGCTGGGATCACAGGCTTACACCACTACACCTGGCTTCCAGAGCGTTTCTACTCTGATTTGTGTAGTAATTGGAGAATATGGAGATCTGGGGTCTTCTTCTGAGTGCCTTCGTGTCTCACTGGGAACTCTGGTGCTGATTTAAGTCACAGGTTCATTTTCTCCTGTAAATTCTCATTCTTACAGACATGCGTCGGGATGTCCAGGAAATTTTTCGCATGACCCCCCACGAGAAGCAGGTCATGATGTTCAGTGCTACCTTGAGCAAAGAGATCCGGCCAGTCTGCCGCAAGTTCATGCAAGATGTAAATACCTTCTACCTTCTCTCCCTCCACTCCCGCCCGCTGCCTCCTCCCCTCCTCGCCCTCTTCCTCCAGACTCCCTTGTCCTTCAAGCGTCAAGAAGGGGGCTTGTGCCCACTTTGGGAGCAGCAACTCCCTGAAGAGAAGCACAGAGGCAGAGACAGCTAGCGTTAGGGTCCGCGCGGGTGCCAGGGAAACTCCGGAAGACTTGGTCGGGTTAATTGAGAGCGGGTAGTGTTCAACATTTTTTTTAAGTCCCAGCATTTTTGAACCTCTTCTCCCTTTCGGGGGTAGGGCCAGATTCTGTGCCCTGCTGCCCTCCCGTCGTCTCCTACATAGCCCCTACAGCCACACATCCTCAAGGTGGCCTGAAGCATGCAGCTGGAGCCTTCAGCTCACCAAAACTCAAACCTCCAGTGGCAGGAGAGCAAGAGAGGGACAGTCAGATGGCAGGGCCCATCCAGAAGAAGAGCACGCAGCACATGAATCTGCCCCTCCCCGCCTCAGGGCTGGGGGCCATTGGCACCTCAGTCCCCAGTCCCCCACTCCTTCCTGCCCACACCTCCTTGCACCCATCGGAGCCTTGGTTGATGTGAGCCGGCAGCAGAGAAGCCCTGGGCACGACGAGAGAATGCAGACCTCATGAGCAGTGTGGATGGCGGCAGCGGAGGCCACAGGAATCCTGACCTGGACGCTGAGGACCAAACCAGCCTCTTTTTCTGTTCCCGGTTTTTTTCCTGAACCTAACGTGCTGTGCCCCATTTCCCCCATATGTGTTGGGTTTGCTGGGGTGGGGAGTCCTGTGGGGTGGTAGTTTTTTTTTTTTGCTTTTTTTTTTTTTCTCCCCCTCTAATTTTTTAATGAGGGTTCTGGGAAAAGTGTAGTGGGAAGAGGGGCTCATCTGTAATGAGGGTAGTGTGGAGAGGGCGGAGCCTATCCTGAGCCCTGGAGTTCCTCCCTGCAGGGCTCCTGCTCTTGGGCTCTGCTGGGGGCATGAATCAGGTTTATCAGAAACCTGAGACTTTTCTTTGGAAAGCCTGCCCTTGGCCTGCCCTCTGGGAAAGACACTGTTTTTACCCCTACTACATGCATCTTGGTCCCTGGCTATTTCTGTTAACTGTCTCCCAAGACAGTCTGGAGAGTGTTGGGAATCTGGTCTGGGAGCTGCCTGTCGGCCCTCTCTGTCATTTCTTCCTCTCCTTCATGGGTTGCATGGGGCAGGGGGATTTTTATTTTATTTATGAAATGTAAAGATTAATTCCTATCTACATTTTTTTGGATGCTCAAGGACCATTGTGTTAGTGTTTAAGAAACAGGGCAGGCAGCTGTAATCTCGGCAGCCACTGGGAAGAGGGAGATGGAGGAGAGAGCCACGCCCTTTGAGTTAAAGCTGAGGAAGTGTCAGGCTGGCTCTGGAGGGCTGTGCCTAGCTGCGTGTGGGTAGGGCGGTGGGAAAACCTGCTTAGCGTGTGGAAAGTGGGGAAGAGCCAAAGTTAGGCTTTTTAACTGAGGATGCAGGCTCAGGTGTGAAGTTCTGTAAGCACCTGCCTGCTGTTTTTCCTGGGGCCCTTCGTGGATTCTTCCCCCCAATACCTATAGATGGTTTGACTCTTACTCAGAACGGTCTCTTCTAAAGCTAATCCTAGAGGTCCAAGAGCAAGGTGCTTCTCACCTTGAGCAGTTTCGGTTCCTCTTTAAATGCCATTTTAAAGATTTTACTTTCCTGCCTCAGCCACCCGAGTGCCGAGATTGCAGGCGTGTACCGCCATGCCTGGCTTTTGGATGGCATTCTGACCATGGCCACTGCAGCTTTCTGATCTTAAAGACATTTGCTAAAGTGTGTTACTCCGAGTCTCCCAGTTGAGAAGGAACGCAGGTGGAGCAGTGGTGGCCCCCAAGTTCCTGTTCTGCTGGAGCTTCTCTGACCCCCATCTGATTCTGAGTGGTGCACTCCCCTTGAGAACCTTCCCCTATTGTTTTCTTTGCTCCACCCCTCATCTGAGGCAACCTCATCGGTGGCCTCACGCTCTTTCTTGGCGGAGGCTCCTTTTTCCTCCGAGTTCTCAGTTGGGCAGTCTTAAAACTCAGCTGATGAAATCCATTTCTGATCAGGAAAGAAGGGTGTTTTTCATGGTGGGGGAGGGGTTTCCAGTCTTCTCTCTCCTCCCCATCCTCCCATGGGGTGTATTGGAGATCAGCTTCCTCCACCCCCCCAGGTTTAACCCCCCCACTCTGCCCTCCTCCTGCTCCCCCCCCTCCTCCCCCTCAGCCGATGGAGATCTTCGTGGATGATGAGACGAAGTTGACGCTGCACGGGTTGCAGCAGTACTACGTGAAACTGAAGGACAACGAGAAGAACCGGAAGCTCTTTGACCTTCTAGATGTCCTTGAGTTCAACCAGGTCAGTAGCTCGAGGTCCAGTGCAGGGATGAGCCCTGGACACCGGCAGTAGCAGAAGCCTGTGTTTAAGTAGCCGTCGAAGGAGCGGCATAGGTGATGAGGTGAGAAGCCCAGATGGGGGGGAGGGGAGTTGCCTGGCCGTAATAAAGACCAAGCAGAGCCAGCTGCAAAGGCCTCAGTGATTTTCAGTAAGTTCATACATTTGTGGGCTACCTTAGGCTCTGAAATAGCTTACTTCCTCTACTTACTGAGGAGCAGCAATCTGTCCTCCCGTTTGCCTGTGCTGAAGCTGACCTTGAGTTAGGATAGGTCCCAAGGTTTAGTGTTTAGGTGAGCAGGATCATCTGTCTTTCCAGACCTTAATTCTCATTCTTAGCGTGTTTCTGTGAGGTGGCTTCATCCTTGACTCCCAGCATATCTGCCAGCTTGGGGTCCTGTGGCCACAGCACCTCGGGAGCCAGATGTTGAGAAATCAGCCCAGAGAACAAAGGCTGTTGTATTCACAGCAGGACAGGACATAAGAGGAACTGAGGGATTCCTTTAGAAATGTAGAGTGCTGGGGTTGGAGGGATGGCTCAGCAGTTAAGAGCCCTTGCTGCTCTTCCAGAGGACCCAGTTCAGTTCCCAGCACCCACATGGGCGCCTGTAATGCCAGTGCCAGGGAATCAGTGCCCTCTTGTGGTTTCTGTAGGCACTACACATAATGGCATACATTCATGCAAACAAAATCTTCAAAAGAAAAGTGAAATTCCTGAAAATGCACATCTGTAACTTCTCTTACATGCCATGCACCCTCCCCTGGCTCCCTCAGGTGGTGATCTTTGTGAAGTCCGTGCAGCGCTGCATCGCCCTGGCCCAGCTCCTCGTGGAACAGAACTTCCCAGCCATTGCCATCCACCGTGGGATGCCCCAGGAGGAGAGGTGAACTAGAAACAGGAAGGGGGTTTGTGTCTGGGGAGGAAAAGGCACTGTGGAAAGAGGAGGGAATCTCACATCTGTTCCTTTCTCACAAAGGCTCTCTCGGTATCAGCAGTTCAAAGATTTCCAGCGGCGAATTCTTGTAGCTACCAACCTGTTTGGCCGTGGCATGGATATCGAGCGAGTGAACATTGCCTTCAATTATGACATGCCGGAGGACTCCGACACCTACCTGCACCGGGTGAGCCCGCCTGCTCTCCCAGCCCCTTCTTGCTCTCACCTTTCTTCTCTCAGCCCTGTTCTCTCAGCACCTGCCTGCTCTCTGAGCCTTGCCTTGCCTCACCTGGCCCTGTGCTTCCAGCCTAGCCCCCCTCCTCTTGGCGTCTCCCCCTTGAGTCTTCCAGTCTTACCCCTCTTACCCCTGTCTCCTTTCAGGTGGCCAGAGCAGGCCGGTTTGGCACCAAGGGCTTGGCCATCACGTTTGTGTCAGACGAGAACGACGCCAAGATTCTCAATGATGTGCAAGACCGATTTGAGGTCAACATCAGTGAGCTGCCCGACGAGATTGACATCTCCTCCTACAGTGAGTGCTGGCCTCACCCTCCTCCCCATCCAAAGTCTGTTTTGAGATTGGGTCTCCCTGGTCTCCCTGTAGCCCCAGCTATGTAGACCAGGCTAGCCTGAATGTCACAGATCTGCCTGCCTCTGCCTCCTAGAGTGCTCAGATGAAAGGTGTGTACCACCATACCCTGCTCTCTGTGTGTGTGTGTGTGTGTGTGCGCGCGTGTGCGTGCGTGCGCGCGCACAAGTGCATGCCTGTATGTGTGAAGGTCAGGACAACTTGAGGGAGTCCTTTCTCCCTTCCAATAGGTGTGGGCTCCATAGGTGTGGGCCCCCGTGGGTTGGACTTGAGTGTCAGGCTTGGTGACAGGCACCCTTACCCACAGCTATTTGATGGCCTCCCACTTGTTGATGTGCTGGTTTTGTTTGGGGTTTTTTTGTTTGTTTGTTTTTGTATGAGTGTTTCGCCTGCATATAAGTGCACCATGTGCTTGCAGAACCCACAGAGGCCAGGAGAGGGTTTCGAATCCCCGTGGAGCTGGAGTTCTGGATGGTCGTTAGCTGCTATGTGGGTGCTGGGAATCGAACCTGGGTCCTCTGGAAGTGCAGCGAGTGTTCTTAACCATTGAGCCATCTCTTAATGACTCAGCTCAACCTGTCTGTAGGTTGTGGCCACTGACACAGAATGGCACTTGGCTGCTTGTTCCTGGAGTTGTGCAGTTGTATTGACTTGATGTGGGGTCTGCTTTTCTCAAAAGACTCTCCACTCCTGGATGTGTTCTCTGAACCCACAGTGTACAGACACTTGCATGTGTGCGTCTGTGTGTGTGGAATTTCCCTTTAAAAAAAAAACTTGATGTGGTATGAGTGTATTGCCTGCATGTATGTAAGTGCACCTGTGTCGTGCATCCCCACAGAGGTCAGAAGGTGATGTCGGATTCCCTGGAACTGGGGTTATCGAAGGTTGTTAGACACCATGTGGGTGATGGGAACTGAACCCCTGTCCGCTGCAAGAGCAGCCAATGCTCTTGACTGAGCATCTCTCCAGCCCCTAAAATTCCTTTCTGTGCCTCTAACTGCTGGTCTTCTCTCCTCAGTTGAACAGACGCGGTAGAGGAATCACCCATTCCGGAATGGCAGTCTGTGACTTAGGACAGCAGGGGTGGGGTGAGGAGATGCTGCTGCCTCTGCCCCTGCAGCCCCACTGCCCCGCTTCCTCCTGTGTCCCCACCACTGTGTCCCCACCACTCCCGAACCTGCTCCTGACATACCAGAACTTTTTTTAACAAAACTAAGAATGAAACACAAATGCGTCTGTGGTGTCTGCAAGTGCTCTGTCCTTCAGTGGCCACGGGAGGTGCTGTGGGCTCCATCCGGGTGAATTCCTGAGGGCTGTGTAGTGGACTGGGGCGTGCTGAAGCCCTCCCACCACCTTCCCCTCGTGGTTGGTTGCCGTTTCTTCCGTGGCTGTGGCAGTGGTGGGTGTGCGGGTGCGCCGTGTTGTGGAGTTGGAGGGTGAGGACAGCATGGTGGGCTCTCGGCTCCTCTCAGGTCCTCATGTCTCTTCAGCTTCTTGGTGTGGAGCACCAGGGCCTGCGCCTCCCGGGCCCCTCCTGCCCGTCCAGCAGGGCCTGGTGCAGCTCTAGCCCCTGCTCCCGCGTCTACCTGGGCTAGTTCAGCTGTGGGCTGGAGTCCTGGGCACAGCAACGGCCAGGACAGGGAGCTGAAGCCGCAGGGCTGCCTGGCTTCCCAATATTTTTGTTTTTTTGGGGGGTGGGGTCTGTGTGGTCTCTAGCCCCAGCTGGCCTGCACCTCACTATGTACACTGTTAGATCAGGCTGGACTGGAATTCAGAGGTCCACTTGTCTGCCTCTCAAGTGCTGGGATTAAAGGCATGTGCCACCACACCTGGCTTTCCCTTTCCTTTTTAAAGATTTGAATTTTTTTATTTAATGTGTATGAGTGTATTGTCTGTGTGAGTGCACCCGTGTGCAATGCAGGGGAGGTCAGATGAGGGTTTCCCCTGGACCTGGAGTTACACGTGGTGGTTAGCTGCCGGGTGGGTGCTGAACCCCGGTCCTCTGGAAGAGCAGTGGGTGCTCTTAACTGCTGAGCATCTCTCCAGTCCCCCTTTGCCTTTTTGATCCCAAGTTTAAAAGGTCATCTGAAGCCAATGCGGTGTCGTACCTCAGATGTGCGTCTATGAGACAGTACACAGGCTCAGGTCGTCCACTCAGGGTCGTGACTGCTGTGCAGGTTCTGGTGTGGGAGGAAGACTGGCTGCCCCTCCCCAACAGGAAGTAATTAGCTCTTAGATGAGGGGAGATTCCTGCGACTACAGTTGTGGAAGGACTGGGTTGGGGTGGAAGGAGCTGGGGGATTCTGAGGAGCAGGTGCAGGCGAGGGTGAGGCACATCTCAACATGAAAGGTTGAGCCTGGCTCCAGTACAAACCTTGTGCTCCCTCCCCATTCCTGGTTCCACATACCCTGGGAGGCGACCCCGTCCCACTACCTGTGGAGCTGGGCTCAGGGAGCAACACCCCGGAATCCTGGAGTTTTCAGGGACCAGGAGGGTGGTAGGTGAAGGTTCCAGCGCTGAGAGAATGGTGCACATAGGCAGCTGAGCTGTCCATGGCCACCAGGAACTGAGTCTACAGACCTTGGGGTTTATTTTAGCGCCTAGCCCTGCCCAGCCACCCACTCACCCTTCTTCCTCTCTACCCCCACCTTCCAGCCTGGCCAGAGTCCAGGAACTTGTGCTGGTGGTGTTATAGGACAGAGTTTGTAAAAAATCACCAACACCACTTTAAGAAAAGTGGCAAGGTAAATTTTAATTTTCGACCGGCCGGGCTGTCTATCTCGGGAGTAGAAGCAGCCCTGATGATTGTTAAGTCAGAGTTTTTATAGGATTGCAGAATTATTATTAAAACAGGACATTTGTGAACCAATCAGGTTTGTACAACATAGCAGAATTTTGACTCTATTAATCAACAACCAATCATTATACAGACAAGTGATACAGTCATATAACTTGGCAATCAACTTTGTGACCTTAAAATTAGTCAACTTCCTAGCCATAACAAGTATAGTAAGACAGCTAAAATCAGCAGTTACCGGGTGGTCATACAATAACAGGGTGGTCTTATACTTTGTGTCAAGGTGACCTAAAATAGCAAGCGAGTTACAGAAGCGAAAACAAGCAGACCAAGGCAGCAAGCAGGTTACAGAAGCGAAAATAAGCTGGTTAGTGAAAATATAATATCTGGAATTAGCACATTCCATGATTCTTGGCGAGGACAATTTTCCAAGGCCCAAGGTTGCCCCCCTTTTCCTTTGGTGTGGAGCAAAGTTGCTGCTGAAATGGCTCTGAACAAAATGGAGTAACTTAGGGAAGTTCGCTGAGCCAGTTCAGTGGGAAACACGTTCCTACTAGTTTAGGCAGGTTGCTATGGACTGGTGTGCGGCTGACCTTAGCCCTGCAGGCAGAGGTGGCTCAGAGGGGCTAGACGGCTAAGTTTTGGTCATCTGGGAACACGATGGTCCTCCAAACAGCAGGCCTTAGAATGCGGATTGCTGGAGGGGGGCTGCTAACAGCGTTCTATCTTTGGTTCCCCTCTCTGGGTTAGGACCTGGGGGGATAGCCTCTGCTATGCGAGAGCCAAGCAGGGAGGCGTTCCCTGAGGTCAGGGTGTCTCAGGAGAAGAGCCTTTAGAGGGCCGAGGTCTCACCGTCCTGGTACTTGCCGCTTCCAGAGGCAGAAGAGCCGAAACCTCTGAAAGTTTAGGAGATTTATCGTCACTTTTCTCACTCTGACAAAATACCTGACAGATGCAACTTGTTTCTTTTGGCAACAGTTAGGGGGGTTCATTATGTCACAGTGGGCAGGCAGGGTGGGGCAGGCACGGTTGGGCTGGCTTAGAGTTAGGGGGGGTTCAGTATGTCACGGTGCGGCAGACACAGAAGGAGGCAGGAGGGCGGGGTACCTGGTCCCACTGTCTGAGGAAGCAGAGTGGTGATTGCTGGTGGTGCATGACTCCCGTGAGGACGGCTGACCAGGTGAGCAGAGCAGCAGGCAGGACACAGGTGAGGGACAGCAGGAGTGTCTCACCTCAGGAGTGAAGGAGGTGGAGACCACGGGGAGAAGGGCCTGCGAATGAGAGAGCATGATACCGTGTGTGTGTGTGTGTGTGTGTGTGTGTGTGTGTGTGTGTGTGTGTGTGTGTGTGTGTGTGTGTATCTTGTTAAAATCTTTGAGCCTTTTCACCTTTAGCTTCTTCAGAACAGTAGGTGAAAGACAGCCGGCTTATAAGGCAGAGCCCCTCCAGGCTCCAGAAGGTAAACTGGTCTTTCTGACCTGCTGTCCACACAGCTGCTTCTCTCCAGTGCCAGGCCATGGAAAAGTTCCACTCCCCAAGATGGCTGCCGGAAATGGAAGCACTCTAGCTTTGCCTCCCCTCCTCCCCTTTCTGTCTTGAAGCTGGCCATAGAGAACGTCTCTGACTTACCTTGTCTGAGAGACAGTAACTCATAAACCCCTATTTCTTTTTTTGGGGGGGTCTCCCTGTAGCCCCAGCTGGCCTGGAACTCACTATGTAGACCAGGCTAGCCTTGAACTCACAGAGATCCACCTGCCTCTGCCTCCCGACTGCTGGGACTAAAGGTGTGCACCACCACACCCAG